GTTCCACTCTGAAAGCTCAGGAAGCAGGTTCTGGTGTCAACATCAGAGGCGCTGGGGCTTTCGGAATAGGAAATAAGAAGCGCCCCAGAAAAGTGTAACCATCCCAGCTTGGATCAAAGGGAGAGCAGCGGAGTGGGAGCCTGTGGTGGGTTTTCCTGTTAGTGACCACGGGATCTTTGGACAGGTTATATATATAAAATGTTCCTGAGACACATTTTCCTCACATGTGAAACTGAGACAGTCATTTCTATACAATGGGCTGATGGGAGATTAAATGAGCTAATGTCTGTCAAGCCCAGGACAGAGCAAATGCCCAGTATGTTTTGAACATCTTCTTCCCTTCCCACAGCAACACCGGCTATCCGGGAGTAATGCTCTCTGCTCGGTGGACTGTGAGGTCCCTTTGAGCAGCGGGGTCTAAAGTGGAAGCAGCAGGCTGCACACTGGGCTGGCCTGCATCTGTAGGAGGTCCAGGCCTCCATTCTGTGTATAATTCACGCTTTGTCCTTCCGCACTCTACCTAGAGGAGGGACTGCGGTGACTTGTCTGATGACCTCTGGGGGCACTGGCTCTTTCCATCCTCTGCACTCTGAAGGTCGGCATCACCAAAGTCAGGCTTTCCGGCGTGGCTTAAAGGGTCTGGGAAGCCATTTGCTTCTGGGACTGGAAAGAGGCATAATTCCAGTGTCCAGTAGAAACAGGTAGGACTGTTTCAGGAGGTGTGGTGGACCAAATCTGCCCACGCCTCCAGTGAGCACCTGACGGGCCTCCTGGACTCAGGAGCTGTGGTGGGCTAAGGTCTCCAAGCCTGGAGCCTCTGAGGTCCTTGAAGACTCCCTGGGTTCAGGAGAACTGTCGGGGCTGACTTTTGAGGCACTAAGCTTGCAGCTGCACAGGGACCCCAAGGCTCAGGGGAAGTAGCTGAAAGTGCTCCTGGAACATGGAGGGGACAGGGATTGCCAAGGGAGGTACCAACTGCAGAAGATGATGGAAGTTTTGCCAAAAGGACCCTTTCCTGAGATTGAGTGTAAGAACAGGGAGATTAGGCAAGGCCGCACTGGTCTGTGAAGCAACAGGATGAATGTCTGAGATCCTGGAACTTCAAAAAATTTGTCTTTCAGTTTAGGAGAAGGAATAAGGACAGAATTGGTGGTTTATAGCAGGGTTTCTCAAATTTAAAATACATTCAGATCCCCTGGAGTTCTTGTTAAAATGCAAATTCTGATCCATTAGTTTTAGGGTGGGGCAGAGATTTTGCGTTTCTAACAAGCTCCCAAGCGATGCTGATGCTGCCAGGTTAGGATTTACACTCTGAGTAGCAAATGCTTAGAAGACCCGGCTGGGCCATGTTTCTGAGTTTCAGGAGAGCTTAAGTACAAAGGTACTGATATCAGGACTCTTTGCGGGAGAGGGAGGGTACAGCTCAGTGGAAGAGCACGTACTTAGCATGCATGAGGTCCTGGGTCCAATCCCCAGTTCCTCCATTAAAAAAAAACTAATAATAATGAATTATCTCCCCCTCTCCCCTCCCCAAATTTTTAAAAATTGTTAAAAAAAACTATTTGAGGGATTTTAGGGAAGAGAGCAGGTGTCTGAGGTCAAGAAAGGGGACACTTGTGAGAATCAGGGAGATTGGAAAATGCAAATTCCTAAAGCCAGGGAAGGGTAGGAGAGGCTTGCTTCATCGCTGAGCCCTGGACTCCCAAGACTTGTGTTTCTGCCAGAGTGTTAAGTATTAGCTTTGGCTGGAACCTAAGAGATCTGCTTCAGTCCTGCATGATATAGATATGGAGAGAAGAGTGAGTTGTCCAAGGTTACACAGTCAGTTGGTGGCTAGACGTTGAAGGACCTTGCGTGCAGGCTGAGTGGTTTGCAGTTCCTCTTGTTGGGGATATAGAGCCATGAGAATATTTAAGCAAAGGTACTTCAGAACAATTCTCTGGTGGGGACTGAGAGGACCACATGGAGTCAGGCACTAAGGAGACTATTCAGAGGCTTCTGTATGAGGACAAGCAAGAGATGCCAAGGGTTTGAGCTCTAGCTATGTAAACAGAGAGGAGCAAAGATATTTGAGAAACTCTTCAAAGATAGAATTAATAGGATTTAGAGATTAATTTTTTTGTACAGGGTGAAGGAAGAGGAAGAATCAAGGATGACCCCCCCCCCGTGTGTGTGGCTTAGACAAAAGGGTGAACAAGTCAGAAATGCTATGTATCTTTCACCCAAGTAAAAAGTATGGGAAAGGAGGAGCCTGGGTGAGGGGATGAGCATGAGGGGACCCCCCAGGAGACCCCCATCCTGAAATCAGATATATTAGTCACTTAGGTTTCCATGAATTGCCTCTGAGCTCCTAATGTTTTTGTCCAGCCTCTCCAATGCTTTTGGGGCATCTACAAAGTGACAGATGTTCCTGCCCACTCCCCAGGACTCTAATTAAATGCCATCTCCTCAGAGAGACCTTCCCTGATTACTTCAGTTGTTCCCCCATCCCATACTGATTCCCTATCACTGCACCTGCCATGTTCCTTCATAGCAGTTACCACGTTCAGTAATTTATATTTACCTGTTGGCATTCTTGTTTATTATCTGACATTCCACTAGTCATTAGGTGCTTTAAAGTTAGGGACTATATTTTATTCCCTACTCCATATATAGCACAGTGAGTATCACACAGGACACACTTGGGTAATATTTGTTGAATGAATCAAAAAATATGTGGTATAGCTGAAGCACCTGGAGACGTTTATTCTAGAGGAGAAACAGTTCAAATGATCCAACTTCTTAATTCTATCCTTGAAGTTGCACAGACCAGCTCTATTTCCACTTCCTTTAATATTTAAAGACTTGTACTGTGTGGCCATCTGGACAGACTCAGGAAGCCACAGGGAAGTGGATCATATCTGTGTCTAGTCAGGGCTGTCCCTCCCTGACTGGACCAGACAGGCGTGGGAGGCCATCACAGGAGGTGTCCAAGCAGAAAGTGGGCCTCGTTAGTGGTACATGGTGGTGGGGTGGCTTTAAGTATTGGATCGGATGTTAGACTACCCGACTTCAGGGCTCCTTTTAAGCCTGAGACTCCAGGAGTCCAAATTTTCAAATCAAATCTTTGGGTTTTTAACAGGTGTTGTCTGCTTTGATTTCTTCTCTTTTTTTTTTCTTATAACTTAAAGGGAAGAATGTGTTTGTTCTCACTGACTTTTGATTAGGTTTATTTTAGACAAGGACGGGTGCTTTCAGGGTGATATGGCCATAGACAAATTAGATTTTTAAAGATCAGGACAGGGTCTTTATTTTTTAGTTCCAAACTGCAAAGGAATCCCCTAACTGTCTAGATTTGCTGACTGACTGGCAATGTGAGGTCAATAAATATTCTGTGACCTAGTGAGTTCTGGAAAGTGGTCCAGTGGGTCAGTGACCAAACTTGGTTTGCTGGTCAGCATTTCTCAATGTGATATGATTTCATTAGTGCTCAAGAGGAACATAGCTATCTGATTTATTACTATTGTAATCAGATAAAACAAAATAGTAATCACCCGTTAAGGCTGTGATTTGCTTTTAGCTGTTGCCCTGGAGAGGAAGAGTCTTCATTGATGTCTGTAGCCCTGTGGTTTTCACTGAGGGCTGTATAGGTCTGTCCATGTCCAGGACATCTTTATGTTTAAGCCAGTAGAATGATATGTTAGACCTATCCTCCTAATACATCTATTTTAGAAAAGGAAAATGTGGTGGGGAATTTACTTGGCTCACAACTGCCCTAAATGCTACCAATCTCAAGACTAACTCCTCTCTGCTGACAAAGTTGATCCTAGTTGGAATGAGGTTGGGGGCTAAACTCTGAGAGAACTGGGTAACTATTTGCCATCAAGGACTTGTTCTACCCCCTACCCCACCTCACTGGCCATCAAATATCCATTTTAGCAATTCTTCATCTAGGAAGCCTTCCGTTCCCCACTTCCTCCACTTCCTCCACTTCCTCCACCTCAGATTAGATCAGATACTGTTGTGGTATATTTCCATAGAACTTTGTTCTTCCCCAACACACTGAATTGTAATTGCTTTGACACCATCTATTTTCCCTTCTAGACTATAAATTCTGTGAGGGTGGGGACTAGATCTATCTTACTTTCACTGTATTTCTACCTAAGACCTTGTATGTGCGTGGCACACAGAAGACACTTAATACATATTTGGTAAATAGTTGAGTGGATGGATGAATGGATAGATTGAAGGAGTACTACATACCCACTATAATCAATGCCTAATAGATTTGGTCATTCTTAAAATTAGGATGGGCTCATTTTGTTTTCAAATGAGTAGAACATTGTTCCCCTTTCAAGAAGTAATTATGAACATTAGATTAGTTAAGAGTCCAAGTGGGGGGGGGGCGGGGTAGAGGGTGGGAAGGGATAGACTGGGATTTCAAAATTGTAGAACAGATAAACAAGATTACACTGTATAGCACAGGGAAATATACACAAAATGTTATGATAAATCA